CACACTTCCCAGCTTTGCCTCCCCGCACAGGGCTCAGGCCCCTGGAACCCTCTGACCTGGATGGGCAGAAACCTCCTGAGTCAGCAAAACTCCCCTAAACCTGTCGCACCGCCACACGATAGCGGGAAGAGGTAAAATCAGGCAAGGACATCCAACTTGCTGCAATTTCTTGACCTCCAGAGTGAGAAATCAGACATGGAGCTGACAAAAGGAGGAAGTCTGGACTCCTGTAATGTCACATTCAAGAAGATTGCGCTTTCAGCTGTGACACGGTGCAGACGAGCCCGTCCCACAGGCTTCAGCCACAAACAGTTGGAACGTGCAGTATATAAAGCATACATAGCTGCTCCAGGGCTTCCCACCACTTACGCAGAGCCAGGATGATATTGGGACTCTGAAATATTTACATCTTACTCCTCTCTTGAAGAATCACCTTCATTTGGCTGCAGGTAGAAGAGAAGATCTCAGATGGGCACATCTGCACAGCCCATTATCTGTCAGCCGTTCCTGCAGCCAGCTTTTTGGTCAAAGCTCTAACCACCACCTAAACCCCTTACCACAAACCACCCTGCCACAGCAAACGACTTAAGATGCTACCACCCTCCCCAGAGTCACCAAGCTGCTACGTGCGAGCGCGCTGCAGCCACCTTGGTATAAAGCTGTGCACCTTGTATTAAGTGAAACGTGACAACAAAGAACCCAAAAGAAGGTTGGCTCTCAAACTGCCCCAATACTGCAAACATGTCACACAGCCTTTTTGTCATTTTGTGGTACAATCCAGCCCAAACCCTCTGTACTCAGGTAGGATCAAGGACAGTTTTCTTTCTCTAGGGAGCACCTATTCAAATGCAGAGAATCTTTCCCATAAATGACACTGAAAACGTGACATCACTGCTTGGAAGATTGTGGTTTCATTTCTGCATGATGCAGTTACGCCCTTTACTTCCACCTTCTTTCCCTCCCTGAACAATGGGGAATGTAATTCTCCTTTTCTGAACATCTGACATTCCAGCTGTTGGGATTCATAATCAGTGTGCACTAGAAATTAAAACCTGTTCTAGATTAACAGGTAGAATTTGTCAGCTAATACTGAAAGGACAATTTTTAGACATTGAAAAACACTTTGCACCTTTATAATCAGCTGTTCCTTGCCCCAGTGACTGCAGCTCAAGAACTGTCACCCTGTTGCAATTTAATTTGGAAACTTAACAGAACTGTTAAGAGTAAGCATGAGTTAACCTTAAATGATACATCCTAAAGTGATTCAAAGTGGCTTGTTGTAATGCAAAAATATGCCTTGTAGGTACTTTTGAAAGATCTATCCATTATCCCCCACTTGCAGAGGGGGAACAGTGATGTGGAGAACATGACCATTTTCCCCCCTAACAAACAGTAAATAAATTCAGGGGCAAAAGGGACTCCCATCAGTCATCACAAGTCACCATGTGACACTGGAAGATGAAAGGCTGTAAGATGCTAACAAAAATATACAACATAATGATGCAGAGCTAGCTGATAACGAGTATCAGCTTTGCAATCAACAAATGCAAGAGTTCCCAAATTTATGTAATCTCAAGTATTTCAGCATCCTTGGTACATCTGTGAACCTGAACTGCAGCTCTTAACCCCACCAGCTTCCTTACATAGCTTAATCACATCCATTTCAACACTGTTTACAGAATGGTACAGAGTGATTAAATCTGGTTTCACTTAATCTTTAATAAAACCTCAATGAGTGCACCTCAATAAGGATAACACGACCTTTGTATCTTCATTTTAATAAAGACAGGAAATTGCCAAGATTAGTGATTTTCAGAGTTAATAACAAGGCAATAGACCTTGTAATTAAAAATAAGTTTAAGGAGGCTGCTAAATTATTTTGATAATGATTTAAGGACCAATTACAGAAAAGATGTAATTCTTCCCTTTCTAATTAGATATATTGGAAATAGTGAAGCTGAGAAGTTCTGATATTAACTTTTTTTTTTTTTTTAATCACAGGACATTCATATGCTCTGTATCAGGAAAGTTTAACAAAAAACAGTATAGGGACTCCTCTTTAAAGGACACTTGATTGTAAAAGAAAAGGTGTAAGAATGATGTTATTAGTTCTGCTGTTTTGTGGTGGCTGGGATATACAGCCTTGAAGATTACTGCTCTATCAGCCTTACATGAGGATTTAGCACTCCCATAAAGCTACTCAGCCTTGTAGGAGCACAAAATACAGCTTTGGTTTGGATTCGGGACAGGAGAGGGAAACTGCACGGCCGAGCATGTACTGTGACGTTAGGGGACCGTGCACACACCATCCCTGCAACGGGGCAGCACCACCCCACAGCCTCCCCAGTGAGTCCACTCAGGGATCTCGCTCCAAGAAAACCACCACAAAACCCAACCCAAACTAAAAGAAACCTCGAAGCCTCAGGCCAGCCTGGCCTTTCAGCAACAAAAACCAACATTATGATGAGACTGCAGCAACCAGTCGCTCACCTGGACTCCACAACGTAAAATGCTCTTGTTTGGGCTTTATTTTACAACATTGCCTAATAATGGCTTTACGAGAAATCAAATTAAGTTTGCTGCTACTGGATGGGGAACATCACCATCTCTGTCCTAAACAGTCCTGTCACTTGCCCTGAGCCAGCTCTGGCACTGATCTGGCTGTATGATAAACCAGCTCAGTGCCCCAAAATGACTGAAAATCAACCCAAGAAGAAGATTAAAAGAGGAAGCATTTTACTGGGTTAGGAACCTGCTTACCTTCCAGAGCAAGGGAGCATGGCAAAGCAAGAGCCTCCTCTCGAGGTGCCGGGTGCTCTCTGTAACCCAACCCCACTGCAGCGACCCCCCCAGACCATCCCACCACCCACCTGCAACCACCACCTCCCAAACAGCCCTGCCTGGAGGACCCGCTCCTTCCCCCCCTCCCCGGAGCACGTCGTCCTCCCCTGGCAGCATTGCTGATTTGAGAATTAGGCAGAAAATTGAGGCCCAAGCGAGTACCAGCTGACAGGCAGCTTTCTCTTTCCTCAGCATGGCAGCTTTTCACAGACAATAAAAGCTGATAAAATCTCTCCCACCGAGGCTCATCACAGGGTTCCTCAGCTGACCACGATTCAGAAAATCCCTCACCAATGTTTTGTGCACCTTGGCCTGCAGCTGTGCTGCTCCCCATTTAGAAACTAAGCAAAGATTTCCCAAGCCTAAGTTACAGCTGTAAATGCATCCCTCTTTCTCCTTCTAATGTTAATAACAGTCTGTGTTAGAGTCACAGAAATATCCCTTTTCCCTTTCTATTATTTTTGTAGCATTTGAAAGATCACATTTTTCATCTCCACATTGCAAATTAATTTCCCATAACTCAAACCACCCTGCTCAGACGAACCTTTCTCTATTCACCCTGTATACAACTGAGCAGCAGCCAAGGACAGTTGACTTAGCTGAATAATATGCACTGGTGCTAAATAAAAATTAAACTATAAATATTTTAAAATACCTGATATCCTGGATAGTAAAAGTGAAATGTATCATTTGTTTAAACTATCCTATTCATTATTTCTTTCCTCATTTCATAAAACCAAACCACTAACTAGAGCCTACATAAATAGAGCTTCAACTTTCATCTTGAGAAGTTTAATCAGAAAGCTCTTCAGGAATATTTTATTTCTTTTATCAGAATATTGATGGAAGTCATAACTCACCTTAATGTGAGAAAGTTTCCTTTCTTCAGTAAAGAAATTCATCAAGACATTTCTTGTTGGTAAGATCTGACATAAATCTGCTTGCTTTTTTCCTCTATTTGATCTCCGCACTTTATGAATTTTTGATTGCCTGCTCTGAATTTTCCACAAGCAAATTCAATTGAAGAAATTAAAAAACAGCAGTTCAATCCTGATTACCTCATCAGCAAATGGCTCTTTTATTGTGCAACGGATGACATGTGCTCCCCTCTCCTGGTGCTGCTGGAGCCCTTATAAAACTGGATCACAAGAAACCTTTCCCTTTTTATTGGTACTATTAGAAAACGGCATATCAACCACCCAAGTTAATTCAGCAAGGCACTTCCCCTGGTCAGGCAACAATCCAAGGGCTACTGCGAATGAAAAAATATCCTGGGGAAAAGAATTGTGGAAGTCATTGTGTACATTCCAAATCTTTCATCTGTACAAGGGTGTGGCCCCTTTCTTACAGTACCAACATGACAGCATGACACACTCGTGCACTGGAGAAGCAATTCAGCACAGTCATTAGCCAGAGCAGAGGTGAGAGTTCACTATTTTCTAACTTCGTTTCCAGTATTATCTTGCTACAAGTGAAGGTGAGCAAGCATATGCCGAGTTGCAGGGACTGGATGGCAAAATGCTTTGGTAACAAGCTGATTATTTAGCATTCACCTTTTCAGGACAGAAATAGCCCGTGTTCACTGGTACTGCAGCCTCTATGTTATGCTGACATTACTGGCTGAATGCTGGAGCAGAACAGCAGTGGACAGGTTTTAAGAATAGTGATATTCCATAAACCTCATTAACTAAATTAATTTGCTTGGAGGCATCCACAAACTTTCTGCTTCAGTATGGCCAAACCTATCTCGTGTGGCAACTTGCTACAGTCACTGTCAACCTGATGGAGCAACATTCACCCTAAATGCTTAAAATATATTAGCATCCTAGAAGAGAATCCGTTTAGACAATTCCCCACAGGAAACCCACTGTTTAAAGAACTTCAAGGATTTCAAATTCATGTTAATTCCCTGTGGATTTAAAAACAATTAAATAAGCTGCTCTTAGTACCATTAGTAAGAAAAATAAATTTGTACAAATATTTAAAAGAAGTTTTTCTTACTTGTGAGATAAAGAATGACTTCATGACCTCAAATATCAGTTAACTAACTCAAAAAATTTCAGTACTGATATAACTACCAAGAACAGAAGGCTCAAGGTATGATTTTCTCCTCTAAGGTAACCTCATACAAGAGCATCTTCAGAGAAGACAGCTAAATGGACATTTCAGAAGAGAATTTATTAACATTTGCAGCACAGCCAGAGAGAGTTGCAGTCCATTAGGCCCAAATACTGTTAGGTGCACCTAATGAATACTGAATCTGTGGGACAAGTATTGTTACAGCACAGCTAAACATAAGAGCATTTTAAAACGTGATGACTGCAAAACAAACTGCAAAGAAGCAGGTTTAGTAACTGAGTTGACCCTAGGCCTCTGACAAGTTTTCCCTAAAAAGCTCACAAAAAGCAATCTCCTCGCTACCAGCTGTGTGCATTCTTCCTCCAGCAAAAGTTAAAGGGTTTTAAAGGAGTGGGTTTGTTGGAAGGAACAGCTGGAAAGCTAATAAATTTCTCTCCCTACAAAGACTTTTCACAAGGACAAACAATTGGAGGGAGGAAAGGCAAGGAAACGCAAGATTTTTCCACCAATATATTAACATATAGTCTTAAAGAGGACATTGTTATTTGTTCAGAAAGCCTGGAAGAAAAACATGTAGATTGGTTTAGTTCAGCCAGTTGAACTATGCTCCAAGAGCTCTGGAAGACATCCAAGATGGAATAAGGTAACACAAAATTTCCCTTATTTCTACTAATTTAGAATAATGTTAATTTTCTACATTTTTTTAAACAGTATTCTAGCCATTACAGTCAGTCCAGTGGCTGGAAATGTAGTATCTGCCTTGATGGCCTAATTCACTGGATGTGTTTAAGAGAAAATTACATTTGAAATGAAACTTTTAACGTGGGTATCACTGTACTTCTGTACAGTCAGGCACTCCAGTATCTCACACTGTTCTCTATAACGCCTGTGGAACCAAGCTGAAAGGAAACACAACTGTTCCGCAAAGTGAGAACATACTATTCTCTACTGTCAAAATCCCTACGTTTTATGAATGTTATTTAAGGAGAAATCTACTGAACTTCTCAGGTGCAAAAACATCAGCCGCCTTCTCTCCAATTCCAACATTTAAACATCCTAACGGAGCTTTGCAAAGTAACCTTTCCTTTCAGATCTTGACCACAGCAATGTTATGCTTTAATGTGGGTACGTTCAGGTGAGAGTTTCAAGTATCTTCCACAAAAATTACTAATTATACAACTTAAGTGAACAATTACTTGTTAAAGAACTTATTAATTCCTACATATTAAAAGTTTTCATTTAAGCCTTGCTAACTAGCCTACGTACCAATTAACAGATGCATAAAACAAAACTCCATACACCCCCTACACCCAGTGAATTTAATCAGTAACAGAAAATACAGTTTTGAACTGACTGTCCAATCCCAGGCACAAGTAAGCTCCTTATCATAAGGTGCTGTATAAAAGCAGTGAAAGATAAAAATCACAAGCTTATTCTTGTCATTTATTTTAAAAACCTTATTCAAAATATTAAGTGATACAAGTCCAAATATGATAAAAATTACTGCAATAAAAGAGTTTGGAGATATTTTGTTTGTGCTTTACTTCTTGCGGTTATGAGAAGAATGCATTCAACAGTAGGAATTTGAACTTTTAGCACTTCGTTTGTAAGCTAGTATCATGCCTTCAGACACCTCATGCCAACAGCTGTAAAGTTGATTTTCTTCAAAATGTTACATAACTACTTGAATACCAAGTCATTAATTATGGCGTTCTGATCCAACGTTATTTACATATTTATCAGTTTGAAAACTAAATCACAAACAGAATGTACAGAAAACTAAGATTTTATATTTTACAACCCATGAAAACATAAATAATGCAAGTACAAAAGACAAGGTAAAAAAAAAAAAAAAAAAAACTACTGTACCAGTAACTTGATTTACACTAATGCGTAAATATTTGCCAAAAATTAAGAGTGCGCTGTCCACAGACTGGCAGCCCCACACACCATTACTTTCATCTGCCTGTTACCTAGGTCAGAATAACCACAAAATAAATTATTCTTACATTTTCAGGCCTCTCCCATTTGTAATATAGCAAACCACATAACTGTTTCCCAACTGTCTTAAAATTCAACAGAAAGCTTTGATGTATTGAAAGCCTGTCAACTATCGATATTTTAGTAAGGTTATTGAATAAGGCTTATTTTCCATTCATTAATTACAAGATATGGAAATAGTCATAAATACCATTCGTGAAAAAAATGGGACAGTCAAGAAGCTGCGTATCTTCACAAAGGTATTAAACATTTTATAGAAGTATATGGTATATAATTTCCAAAATAAAATGGTTTATACATAATTATTTTTAAATTACTTACTGCATGAGCACATACAGAAATTATGAAGTAGCCATGCTAGCTATTCTGCTTAAAATAGGATCAAATTATGCAACAAGAAAAACCGAACAACAAAAAAAAAAAGATGAAAGATTGCAGCATCAGGATTTACACAGAGAAAAAAGTAATTATATTTTAAGTTTGCAATATAGTGGGATTTATGAGCCATATAAGTGATTAGCAAAGAGATCATGAATTTGATTTAGTGATGACAAAGTCATTAATTTATTAGACCTAAAATATTTTATGCTTATTTTTTGTATTATCACTATTATGACTGCTCCAGACAGAAGGGATGATGCTTAATGAATGGAAAGAGCACTGATTATTAAACTCTGTATTTTTTTATAGTTGATATAAAACCTGACCAAAGTAGCAAACAGATGTATCATGCCCTTGATCTTCCATGAGATTTAATCTCAAAAACTTCCAGGTCAAAGAGAGTACATCTCATTTCAGTACAAGCAGCACATTTAGAATACCTGAATATCATTATATAACTAGGCAGGCAAAGAGTGAGAAGTTCAACAAACTCAAATCACAGTGCTTTCAAAATACGTAGTCATTAGTTATTTTCAGAGAAGGCATTGCTTCATTAACATTTTGATCTAAACGATGATATTCTACTGTCCTAGAGCACAGGCCATCCCTCCATCTTCGGCTCTGGACCAATAAGAAAATCTGAAAGAAAAAGCAGCCAATTTACATAACGCTATGGAAAACATTTTGGTTTTGACAGACAGCTTAACAGTTCTACTGATACGAGAGTTCTACCCCTTGCTCCCAGCAATGGCATCACTGTTCCTACAAAACACTGCACTAGCAGTCAGCCATTTCCATACTGTCCTTGCCATCAAGTCACTTACTGGCAACCTCAGTTGCAGTCTGGCAAAAAACATAGCACTCAACCTATAACTCTTTTAGTAAAGTATGTGTAGAGCTTTAGGAGTACTGCGTATACAGGCCATTCAACTATCCCCAGATGGTGACATTTGTTAGTTTATTCATCTTACCTATTCTGGCATTTCACCCTTGTTAAAAATAGTTGTATTACTGGTACTGAAACAAAGGCAACAGAAGCAACAATGGTGTCATCTGATGAACTGTTTTTGCATTACAGCTCAGTGCCCCCTTCAGCAGTATCAGCAGAGCAGTTAAAAAGACTCTATGATAAATCACAGCACTCAAGTAGTCAGATTTTTAAATGTCTATTATCTTCACCCTATCCAGCCTTGTTTTTCACCAACATCATCTAAGAATCCACTTTACCAGAGTGCAACTATACTGGCAAAAAGGGAAATGGGACAGTGCAAGTGGGCACAGGGAAAGAAAAAGAACCTAAACCAATTTGACTGTTGTCTCACACAAATACATGCCACTATCTATGTACTTCAAGTACTAGTGTGTTTTCTGTTCCCAAAATTATTTCTAAGTGCTAAAAAGTAGTATCAAAAGACAGCTTTTCAATTACCCAAATGATACTGCAAGCATTTTTCCACTTATTTAACAAAGACAAGCCATTTTTCATCACTTATTTGAACTTCCCTCAAAGTTAAATTTTTCAATTGTAATGCAGTCTTCAACATTTTCCCCTATGAAGACTTGGCAATGCACATTCCAGATATGCCAGTGCACTGTAAAGCAGAAGTTTTGGGGGTTTTTTAGCTGCGTTCTTTACAGACTCCTCCAAATCCTTGACCAAATCAGTGTTCTCTACAAGGATAAACACTAAATTTTCCTTGTATCTAAAAACTAACCTGTGATTTAATTGCAAATTTGTGCATGCATCTGTACTGGGTCTTGCTGGGCTGGAGTCAATTTTCTATGCTAGCAATATATTTTGCAGTAACACTAATCAGACTACTTTTGCGATACAGACGATTAGTTTGTCCTGAAGAAACAGTTACCTAAAAACACTTTGAGCTTCTCTATGTAAAACTGGAAAGAGTGTTAAACGTTTCCTAAAAGTTTTTAGTTTTAGCCCTCAGAATATCTATGATATAAAGACCACCTTAAAGTGTATACTTATTACAAGGATTATCACAGTTAAGAACATTCCCACGCCATTTAGGATTAAAATTCCTTAATTTGTTGTTTATAATCCTGTGCAGAAACAAAATTAGTTAATAAATCACCTTAATTCGATTTGGCTCAGGTCTCATTTGTAGAACTCATGTTGTACACTGCCAGTGCTCATTACTGAACTGATTGATTACTGATGTTATCAATTAATAGATTTTCTAATCTGTTTGATTCAAGTTCATTTTCATTGTGCAGATAAAAATGACAGTAACAATCTGTATATTAGTATCACAAGACTAAGCGGTCATAGATTTCACTCTCCAAAAAGCTAAGTTCCTCTTATTAAAGTGTACAAGGCAATGCAACTTCATTTAAAATACTGAAGCCATTCCTCTCAACCTTTCACAGCATACCTACCTTCCTCTTATTGTGATAAGTGACGTAAACAACAGCTACTAAGAAGGCAACTACAACCAGATGGAAAAAGAAATGGCTGTCTTCCTCTTCTTCTTCCAACCCTGTGACAGAAACATCTTTTATCTTCTCATCAAGGGTCTTGATCTCCTCATTGTAATTACTAATGGTGTCAGAGTCGTCATCTTCTGGCATCTCTAGGAGGTCTGGGTTGTATCTCGAATTTGATGTCATTTCGTAAGGCCCATAGTCATCTCCTCCGTCTGACTCCATAGTTTCTTTTATAACGGGTGGTGAACTATTCAGTGTGTCTTTCAAATCTGTTAGAAGATCCTCTTCCTCAATTTTAGTATCTTCAGAAGCATCAACATCCATTTCAGATACTGGACTAGCAGTCACCACATGAGAGAGAACATATGGAGGAGAATCACCTTTTCCTGTAGATGGTTTTACTGCAGTCACCAAATTGACTTTAGTTGTTGTTGGGAATGCCTCTTTTTTTGTTGGGCTTGCCTCTTTTTTTGTTGGGGTTATACTCTGCGAGTTGTCTGTCAAATTTTGGGATCTACTTAGCGTTTCATTCTCACTTTTAGAAGAGATGTTCTTCTGGAGCATCTCTACTTTCATAGAATCTGAGAAAAAGATGAGAAGGTCAGTATAAAGCACAAGACACTAACTCCTCTTGTAATACTTCAACTATAAATTAAAGTTACGGCAAGGCATTTATTTTATAAACAAGAAATCATATGATGAACAGGGCATATTTCACACTGCAAACTTTTTAGAATTCATATGTAGAAATATACACTCCTGTACTTTGGCAATTTCAAAGGACAAATCTTGAGTGGGACCTGACCTAAAGCTTGGAAGCACATGCTTTCTAGATTAGTATGATGAAGTGTCCTGGAAAAATTTACCATGCGTACTTTCCCGACTAAGAAATTCAGAGACATGTCCTCCTTCCCTCTGTGGATTTATGACATCTTGTAGAACCATATGTGATTAGTATTTTCTCCACCATCAAACTCTTTCTCCCACAGAATTTGCTGAGGTCTACTAAAGAAGTTCTCATTAAAGCTTTTCCTACAGTTAAAAGTTTTTAATCTTTCACCATTGAATACCCTACCAAGAAAAAAGGAGAACACGCTGCAATGTCTCCTTCAGTCAGGACACAAGGTCCTAGCATGTCTTCCCAGGCATTTATTTTCATTGAATTTTTAGATACAGAAAAAGATGTCCAACCTTATGTTAGCTCAAATGAAACTACTGAATCACAGCTTAAAAAACAAAGCTGAAGAAAGGACAATCGGACTGCATATGCTCCTGTAGGAAAGCTTTTTGTCAGCAAGAAGTTATTATAATGAAGTCAGCAACAGTGCTATGTAACAGTGCACCCTTAGGCAAATTCATAATCTCTCCAATGCTAGGATGGCTTTGCAGAACTACACAGACAACAAGGTAAGCATTAAAACCACATGCAGGGCTAATCGTCCCTCTTCTCTATCCAAAGGGAGGTAAAAAAGAAGACACTAAGGGAGTTTATAGTCAATGGGGTTTTAATCCTAAAAAACTATCAAAGAGCAAACTATTCACATTTATAGCACGTCACTTTCAGACTCAAATCAGGAGGCATCTTAAAAATTAATAACACATTTTAGACTTTCAGTACACTTCACAATTTAAATCATGGAATCATAGTTACCTTGTATTTTGCCATGCCAAACTACTTCTTAATTTTTTATTTCAGAGAATTGACAATAGTTTCATTAAGCACTCCCAAGGAGCTCCCTGGTTTACTGGAAAGTTACAGATTCTAGAAACAAACCATTCAACCAACTGCTTGTATCAAATTACTCATAAGTAAAATATTATACAGGGGACACTGAATCACGTTATTCATGAAACATGTATATTTACAGAGGAGCGGTTACAACAGGCTTCTTGTTTACAAGGTACACTCTTCCAGTATGAATTACTCTTTAACCAAGTGTAAAACAGAGAAGACCCAACTAACCCCATATGAACTAGACATTACGGTGCCTCTCTGCTAAAGTTTAAAGTCAATTACTTTACATTTAACACATTTATTGTTGAAGAAACTAACAGTCAGAATTATCATATCAACATTAACTTGTTCGCTTCTTGTACAGGACAAGTTTAGGGAATTCTTATCTCCCCTTAGGAGTCAAACCAGCTAATTGCATACGTGAAGATAAATACGAGGAAAGGCTACTGCAAGGTAGATTCATACTTACAGCTAGTTGTCATGTTATGAGTGAGGTAGGTAGACCTTACTGCCACCTTCCCCAAATAGGCAAAAAAAAGTAATAAAAAGTAATAGCTAAATTGTTTGGAATACAAACAAGCGTATTTTTCCTACAGAACTACACTGCATGTATCCCTACACTTCAAATTATTCTTAAACTCATTTTAACATTAAAGTTTTAGAAGAATATAGGCTTAAATACAAGAGACTCCCACCAGCTAATGCTGCAGCTTCAGAGTGAGAAAGAATAACTTCCTATTATTTCTAAACAAAGTTATTTTTTCTTTTAATAGGAGTAGCAAGTTTAGCAAGTACACCACAACTGATTTATGGTATCTACGCAAAACTATTTGGCATTATAAATGGTGGTTGCACTGTTTACAGTTACACAACACTGTCAGCTGATGTCAGACATCGTGCCTGGACTCCAGAGAGGCCTCAGCTTCAGCAATAGATACTAATGTTCAGTCATGGTGACAGAACTAGCAAGATAGTTGTCTTACTAAACACTGTACATAAAAACATCTGACAGGGTCAAAATTCACTTCCAGGAAAACTTTCTTTTTAAAAAGCAAGTTGTTCCATGATTCTTGAAGTTAAAAATCCTTGGTTCCCTTGAGGTTTCTGTCCCACATCCTGAACCTCTTCCTTCATTACTGCCTACTCACTAGACCAGGGGAGGGACAACAGGAACAGATCTGGTTTGGATATACCGACTGTCAAGCAAGAAAGCAACTGCCAGTTGAAAACAGCTCCCTTTGTTTCCTTCAACAATTCCCTTTCTCTTCACTGCCCAACCAACACCCCATCTAAAACAAAGAGGCACTCGCTGCACTTGAAGTACTGTGTATTATGTATTAGCATTTGGTTACAGTTGGTCGGTAGGTTGAAGGGAGGTGGGAGAAAGACTTAACTAGGAGTCAACTTGCAGAACTACACAAGCTTATTTTCTTGGGGGAAAGAGGAGGCTAAAGACAGGCGCTCAACTAGAACAAAAGATTAAGTCTGATGAGCGAAGTAGTCAGCTAAACGCATCTGCACAGCAGTAACGCAAGGCGAGTGCCTGGCGAGACAGCCCCACGCACACCCGCCGAGGCAGCTGCACCCTCCCACACCGCTCGCTCCCGCCGCTCTCGGGGAGGGGAGAGAAACCCCGGCCCAGGCCGGCTCCCGGCGCCGAGGCGGGCGGGGGGGCAGAGCCCTTTAGGCCCAAAAGCGCTGAAGGCGAGTCGGGTGAAAGACCAGCGGGGCGGCCGCACAGCACCCACAGACACCCCCCACCGGGACCCGGCCCGCCCCCCGCCCAGCTCACCGGGGGTGTCCTGGTCGCGGGCCGCCACGGCCCAGCCGCAGAGCAGCAGCAGGCAGAGAGCGCGGCCCACCGGGTACCCCCTCTGGCCGGCGGCCGCCATCTTGCCGGGCACCCTCCACCGACGTGGCGACGGCACCACCCCCTCGGCGCCGCGCGGGAGGGCGGGAACGTCGCGCGCCATCCGTGAGGCGGCCGCGCATGCGCTTGGGCGGGAAGGCGGGAAAGCGCCGCGCAGGGACTGAGGGCAGCCGGGTAGTCATGGAGCGTCAGGGCACCGTTTGGGAGGAGCCGGGACCCCCAAGCTGGAAGCGCGTCCAGTTCCCTGACAGAAAATAGGGTTTTTACATCTCCTTCCTTCAGGCAGGGAGGCTGCTGTGAGGGGTTAGACCCTTCCCACAAAGCCACTGTCCCGGCAAGGCGTTCACCAGTGTCCTCATGCGTGGCTGGGCCTTGCGCTGTAGCACTCGTGGAACGCTATTTGTAGAATTTGATCTAGGGAAAAACGCCCTCCTGTTCTTGCCCCAAATGAGGCATTCCAAGCCCTGAGAGAAGCCTCGAAGCTGATCACAGGAGAAGAAATTCCAAAACGCCAATACCTCAAGTGGGAGAAAACAAAAGCAAGGAGCCCAATGGCTTACAGGGACACAGAACACAGGACGTGCACAGTGTGCAGGAACGTAGATTAGTTTTGAGCATCTGCCATATTCCTGCAAGCTGGTAGCACGTGGTTTGTTTCAATCAGTGAGGTCTGGAAGAGGACTACTCCCCAGTTAAGTATCTGTGATAAGGCATCCTAGGAAATACTCAGCTTTACTCAGCTTGTGATACAAGGGAAGACAGCCAGCGTTGCAAGATTTGCAGGCTGTCGCTGAGGCAGATCTATGGTCTCGCTATGTCGTAACTCCATTGCCTCATCAGGCACATCCTCCTGTACCACAGCCTCTTGCCCTCTGCACACCACCCATGTCGACTGCTTGCATATGAAAAAAAAAATATAAAATTTTAATGAAAGGCCACTGAAGTTTATCCCAACTGATAACTGTTCCTTGCTCACATCTATTTGTTTATAGAAAAGTAATTCAACTTACTGAATTCTGCAATGGAAGAAAGATAAACAATTCACATTATCTTGTTTTCTCCATGAGTTAAACATGCACATGTGCAGTTGCCAGAGCTTAGTGAGCACTAAGAACAGGGCCGTGTCTGGAACTTAAATCTACTAAGTATTTTTTGTTTGTGTGGTACAAAATGCACACTAAGATGTTGCCAGTCTGCTTCTGGAGCCAAGAATTAACATGAAATTGTTTTTGCAGTTAATATAAAGACAAAGTAAAAGGTGACATTTCAATATTTTATTCAAGTTGGGTTTGGGCTTTTTATCCATTTTTAGTAGTGTCAAGTACAGCATTTTGGGGTCTAGTTCCACACAAAATGGAAGACTCTCTAAAAATGTACCCATTTAAGTTGCTAAAAAAAAGTGGTAATAAAACAAAAGTCCATTTTAAATTTAGTGATGCAACTATGTGATTGCAGTTACAAAGACTCTTCCCTGATTATGGCCCTGTCTTATAAGCTTTCCAGTCAGTGCAAGGGAAAGGAACCACAACACAGGACAGGTAGTATTGGCTGAGTCACATCAAACCTCCTCCACAACCGACTTACACGAGGTGGACAACCTAAAGCATTCTGGAGACAGCTGTAGGTGTAAGTTAACCAAGTAAGACATACAATTCACGAAATACCTATCTAAAAAAATATGTAAAAATCCCTTTTTCAGACAAGTTTGCACATTCCATCATGAATTGAAACCTTAAGTGTCAGAACATTTTGCTTATGGAATTAACGGTACAATATAGTGGTCTGCGATTCTTAAAGTCTCAGATTTTATACCACATTAACATATTCCTTGTGCAGTCAATACATTAGAGTAAAGGTAATCAATACCTTCCTACTTCCTATCATATGGCAGCTGACATATGCGATGGGCAATAACATTATTAAAAAAAAAAAAAAAAAGCCTGGAATTAGGATTTTTTGATGCTTTTGTCTCCATTTCTTTAACAACATCATTTTTAAAGCTTAGCTGTCTTTAACCAGGACTAGCAGAACTGATACATAGCAACACTTGCATCCCAGACATAAAACATTGAAAGGTACACTATATTCTGAAGGTAGCTATGCTGTATTTTCAAATTAGTGATTTTAGAATCATTCCTTATGCTTCAAATTCCAATCCTAGACCAAGTTTATGGCCACCTGCGTTGACATTCTTGCCATCCAACAAAGCTGACAATGTCAGTTTGATACCTGTGAAACAGAGAAAAGTGAGAGAAAAGATGAACTGTTAAAACTTGAAATGAGTTTTACGTTCACCAAGTCCAGTGTCTGTGTTACTGCTTTAATTTCTTGGGTAGCTAGGTTAATGTAATTTGGCAGCTAGGCTTGTAAGGAGTGGGCATTTTGAAATAATTTGCAGATAAGAAATCTTTCTGAATTATGAAAGTTCTAATAAACCACGGTGATAGATTCTGCTTTTTATCACTCCAAGTAATTAAAGCTCTGAGTCAGTTCACTGCTGCTGGTCTACTGATTAATCTAATTTTAGAGTCCAGTATTATGAAAAATTGCAATCTTGATACATACCCACCTTTCTAAACCACTTTAAAATCTAGGTATGAAAAGGCCCAAGCCCTGTCTACTGTAATATCTCGTGTCAATCTGCTTGGTATTCTGGCAGCAGATTTATTAGACTACATTAAAGCCAATTTCACAGCAGTAAGATTGTCCTCTTCCTGGACTGGGGGACCTTGAGAAAGTCACATTTTCAAGCAAAACAAACTCAGGAATAGGAAGCCTCTGAAAGTACTAAAAATGAATTTACTGATCTGTGAAACACCTAATTGTAGATATATAAAAGAGTATCGGACTGGTCCGTGGATGGTGGTCTCTAATAATTCTGTTTCCAGTAGACATCCAAAACTAACAGAGCAGTCCCTGGGAAAAGCTCATTGCTGGTTTGCCAAGCGGAACAGCAGTCTCACAAAACCAGTCACATTCAAGATTAAAATAGCACCTTATTGACTCTGAATTTCTTCTGCATAGACTTACCTGGCTTTAAAGTCTGAGTGTATCCTAATCCAATCAGACTGGAGTTGTTCACTTTAGCCTTAAAGGGAAAAAATACCATACGTAAATAATTTAGTAACTCTCTTCAAAGCCCTTCCCACTTGAAAATTAAGTAACACCTTTTAAGCAGGTAAAGGATTTCATGTATTAAATCACAAAAAAAAAAAAAAGAAACAAACTATCTAGAATTAATTTTGCCATAGTTTAAATCCAAAATCTCAGCGAATCTACAATGACTATAGAAAATAATGGCTTTATTAACAGTCTTTAATTTTTTCAAGACTGACACGAAAATATTTCAAAATAGTGCCCAATAATACAATTGAACACTGTATCACTTTTAAGGAAAATCCAATAGTTGTGCTCTCATGCTGCCAAAACCAAGACAGATACATGCACCAGCTATGCACCACAGAACCACATCAAAACCGTACTTTCCCATGGTAGAGGTTGCTTTACATTTCTATTACGAGGGCGTATTTTCAAATGCTTATAAATGTACATGCAAAGTACTCACAGAAAAAGAGGCATCTGGGTCAATCTGGTACTTGGCCGCTATTCCAAAGCGCGTGTTGCTGTTACCAGCTGTCCAGGCAAGATTCACTGCGGTTTCCAGTTTATCATTCACCTTCTGGTAAATGGAGCCGCCAAATTCTGTTCCATCATTCCTGGAAGGAATGCATTAGTCTAGTTTTAAACTGCATCCCAAAACAGTCATTTTTTTTTCTCCCAGTAAGATTTGTATTTGCAGAACATTCACTTTCACCTCATTTAATACCCCTGTAACAACTAATGGAGACATTAGGCCGGATTGGTTATGAAGTAATTTTTAAATATTTAAATTCACTGATGGTTACTATATTTCAATAAACAACTTATGAAACTGGAAAAAAAAAGCCATGACAAACTATCAAAAATAGACTAACGATGACAGCTTCCAATTTTCCCTTCTCTCTCAATATGAGCCTTTGTAGTAGAGAGATTTATTCTTCCCTGCATATCTCTAAAATAATTATTTTCCCAGGCTATGTCTCTCTGGTGCCCTGAAAGGGCCGAGGCTGAGCAGTCACCCTAACGCTGCCTTGTCAGCACGCTCTTACCAGACACAGATGAACTGTATCAGAAGCGAAGATGCCAATTTAATGTCCAAGTCTATCAGCTTTTGCAAATGAACACCATTTGTAATATTCCTGGTGGTACATCTGTACTACAGCTATTTCTGTAGTAGAAACTGAAAGGAAAGTAATTTTACTTTGCAGAGAGCACTGGCCAGCAGCTGAGGGACGACAGCCTTCTGGCACGGCTACCGAGTAGCACAACTTCCAATTACTACTGACACCAATGTCACGCAGGGAATAAAGTGTGGTAAATGAAATGCAAAACGTTAGAGCATGCAGATTGTGAAAACAAGAGCAAAAGACTTCTAAAAGCCTTGCACTTCTTGCAAAGCAGTGAGCATTTCCATTTTTGCTCATTTTCTTAAAAGAGGATACATTTTGCACAAACCAGGCTTTAAAACACAGGAAGACCTCTGCAGATTAAATACTTATGATTATTTCTAAACCATAAAATAATCTGGTTCCGATTATTAGAGTATACCAAACCCTTAGTGATTAAAAAAGGGGCAGATTTATATTCTTTCCACTTTTACCCCTTTGGCCTGATGTTCCGTAGTTCAGAACAGTTGCACAAACAGTAGCGATAGGCCTATTTAAAAGTTCAAGCAATAGCAGCAGCTGTTTAAATGGTTAGAGCAATTCTTCCAGAAAAATACTACAATACTTACTTCAGATAAGACTGAAGCTCACATATAAGTGCATGTGCTTGGTTCTCAAGAAAAGGAAGGATTAAAAAGGACTGAGGAGAGCTGGTTATACAGGCAGATTTTGTGCAAGGTTCCCACACAGCTCTGTCTTGACCTGCAACATTAGGGGGGGGCGGGCTGAGCTATGCTTAAAAAACAAGGAAAGTCATATTTAAAACTAGAAATTATCCAGCCCTACCTCCCTTTAGTTATTATTTATTATTAAAGAATA